TCTGAGTGACGCAGTGTTATGTTCTCCATGTTCCGCCTGTGAGGGAGACACTCCGGCATTGGGCTTTCTCCTCCTGATGAGTTCTCGGAGTATAATTGCCCTCACTACTATCCACTAGTTGCAAATGACAGGATCCATTCTTTACTTAGGCAGGTAGGATGGTCATATCAACACACCTCAGTTCCTGCTAACAATGCCTCTGCCATGGATGCCTCCCACAGCTGGGCATGGAAATGCCCACATCGAGGCACAGATAAAGGCTCATCACCACAGGACTGACTATCTGATGTCTCTGGGACTCTGCTAGAATGGTAAGAGAAGGGAAAATTTGTATAAATAAATAGGATTAGATGTAGCTAAAACTCTGCACAGGAAAGGAATTATCAATATACCAAACACACCTACAGGATGCAAGATAATATGAGCACATAACCGTTCAGACAAAGGGCTAAAACGAAGCCTAGAGAACTATAAAATAGAAGAGCCCAAACTCCCATGTGAGCACAAGCACCTGGGCCCTTGTCATGACAGGTAACAGGTGCTCAGTGATCACCCAGCTCTGTCCCTAATGAGGCACCTGCTCATACTGTGTCATGACCCCAGTGGCCCCAGACCCTCCCTGGGCTCCTCTGTCCCAGCCTCCAGCCAGAGCCTGCTATGTGGCAGGACACATGCAAATAGGGCCGGCCCCTGCTGCTGAAAACAGCCCAGCCAGGCCCTGTGGCTCTGCACAGGAGCCCAGCTGGGATCCAGGGTCCACTAGGGTCAGGACAGATGCGGACACTCACCATGGAGCGTGGGCTGAGATGGCTGCTCCTCCTGGCTCTTCTAGGGGGTCAGTGCTGGGGAGCAGGAGACCCTGGGGGATAGAAGAGCCATAAAGGGAAAACAAGTGGCCGAGAGCCAGTGTCTTGACTGCTGTGTCTGTGTTTGCAGGTGTCCGGTGTGAGGAGAAGCTGGTGGAGTCTGGGGGAGACTTGGTGCAGCCTGGGGGGTCTCTCAAACTCTCGTGTGCAGCCTCTGGTTTTACCTTCAGCAGCTACAACATGAATTGGATCCGCCAGGCCCCAGGGAAGGGGCTACAGTGGGTTGCACAGATTAGTAATACTGGTGGTAGCACATGGTACACGGACTCTGTGAAGGGCCGATTCACCATCTCCAGAGACAACGGCAGATGAACAGCCTGAAGCAAGAACTCGCTGTATCTGCAGATGAACAGCCTGAAGCCCGAGGACACGGCCATGTATTACTGTGCGAAAGACACAGTGAGGGAAGCAGATGTGAGCCCAGACACAAACCCTGAAGGGACAGGAGGGGGTTGGGCGGGTGCACTGGGGCGTGGTCAGGACCCAGGTGCCCAGGAGAGCAGAGGCACAGGAGGCTCAGAGCACAGAGCACAGCCAGGAGCAGGTGCAGGATGGGGCAGGGGCCTCCTGCCTGGGGCTCCCTCTGCAAGGCCTCAGCTCCCCAGGGGCCACTGCTCCACTCTGAGAGGCTCCCACCCCCATTGCTTGGGAGCTCACATGGGGAGGTGACACTGTCTGCTCATACATGACACCTCTGTGTTGTCCTGCAGTTTTGTGGTATTCTGTATTATTTTTACAACCAGAGCACTCCTGACTGCTTCTCCCTGTGGTTAGGGTCAGACCCAGGTGCCCTGCAGGTGAGCTGTCAGTCAGGCAGAAGCAGCACACAGGAGCACTGCAGCAACATCTCCACTCCACGTGCAGAAAATTGTTGAAACAGTAAAGCCCACAGAGGAGAAGGCCGGCCCCACTGGGGGCCCTGTATGTGCTCAGTTTTTTCTAATTTCCCCCAAAACTAGAAATGACAAAGAAGAAGATACACTCCTATGCTCCCCTGACAGCCCGGACTGTCCCTGCATGGACCCCCAGAGCCACTCACAATGGGAAACCCCAGGCTCCTCCCTCCTGGACTTGCCCCCCAAGCAAATCCCATGGACAGCACCTGCACCCCTGACCTTCCCGGTCCTGTCGGCATCCAGGACAGGTTATGCTGAGTCAGCGTCTGTCAGTGTCCTGCGAAGGGTTTGGGGGCTACACAGGGTTTACAGTGGCCACCAAGGTCCAGACCGCAGCCCCACACCAGGCCCCGTCCATCAGCTGCCCGGCCCCCACTGGCTCTGCATGCACTGGGCTCCTGGCTGCGAGGACACAGCCTGGTGTGAATATGGGGGACCCAGTGGGGGACACTGTGGCCCAGACGCTGACCCTGCAGGGACAGAGGGGCTGGGGGCGCCCGCAGCCAGCAGGGGGGCGCTGGGGCCACAGGTGAGATCAGGACTCAGGCTCAGGGACCCCAGGCAGCTGGGGTGTCCTG